TTTGACTCTTTTCTCTGACGGAGATGGACTCGTTGTGTTGTATTTGGAAAAATAAAAAAAAAAAAATCTCGGGTCAAAAAAAGGTGGGAACCCTAAAATACACCTCCGGGTTTCGACGTTCTGGATAAATGCGGGTGAAGAGCGCCGGGAGGGGCACATGAAACGTCTGCCAGACACCCTTCACCACAACAAACGACGCAGGGCCAGAGAAGAACTGCCGAAAAATTGCTGTAAAAAAGATGATGACAATGACGGTGGTCAAGGGAAAGAGGATGATGGTGAAAGCTCTTCAAAACGAACTCCAGCGCAAGGTTGCAGCCCTGTTACATAGACGTGTGCAGTTTTCTTCTGTTGCTACCGTTTCTGTCTTTCAACCGGAGAAAAGCTTAGCCTCCCCCATGCCGCCCCCTCACAGGGTCCCAGTGAACGGCAGTTAGAAGTGTTTTGTGTTTTCAACCGCGCTGGGACTGGCGGCTTTTCATTGGTCAGCCGGTTGGCGCGGTCCATGCTAGTAATAAAGACCAGCTCATAAAGACACACAGGTGGGTAAAGAGGGACATTTCGGAGACACCGTAAAAACACACGCGTCCATCATGAAAACGACGTCACAAATTCACAACTTGCTCTGGTTGACCAGGCTATTTATATTGGAGTCGCTCCCCCTTCCGACCGATCTGTGGCCACGCGACCTCGAAAACAAAACCTCAATAGTCAACTTCAAACTCTACTGCTGTATGCGTACCATATGTTTCCATCATCGCGCATCTCTCTCTCTTCTCCACGTGCACAATCAAACGCAACGGGGAGCGATGCCCCGATGCATAACTAGTGTATGCATTTGTAAATCCTCCGACGAACTTGGAACCTTTGAAATGGCGGACAGTAAGGGCTCACCTCGACCGGGAACAACACAGACGACGAGGCAGCACTGCCCGCGGACTGCTGCGCCATCAAGAACGGCTGCGTGTAGCTGGCAACCCTTGGGAAAATCGTGCCTGCGGGCTAGAGGAGAAAAGAAACAACACCGCCTTTTTGGGCGCTCATCCCGTGCCCTTGGTGCTCTACTACTGTGTTCCTTGAGTCACCCACCTCTCCTTCCTCCTCGTACAGTGTACATGTCTGATGTGTACATTCACAGGGAGCTCCTCCGTCGCCAGTCGCCAAGCACGGGCCCGGTCGTGCCTGTTTTCGAAGTTCCGCCGCAGGTTTTCGACCGATCACAGATCAGATCAGAAAACTGCGTACCTCAAAACCTTCCTGTCGTGAGAAATCACTCCATTCTGTCGGCCCCCCCCACCATTTGTCTTTCGTGAGTTCTTGAGTCAGGTCGAGGTGTGTTCCCAGGTATAACGGGTCAAGGTGTAAGGGCTGCGAGGGCGTTGGCGACCCTGAACGTCAGGAAGGGGCAGAGAAGGAGAGGAGGTGCGAGGTTTCTTAGTATTTTGTTGCTGCAACCCTAGGTTCATGTTGCTCCCCCATGGGATCTACAGAGCCAAGGGGAAAACGCCCCGTTCATCCCGCCTGTTTGTTGCCCGACGTTCTGGCGCTCTCTCTTTTCTCTCTCTCGGCCATATGCATGACCGTGGCTCTGTGTTGCGTGTCAAAGAGCCTAGAGTCGAGTTACCATGCGGGAGGAGGAGGAGGCCGACCCCGTCTGCGTAGAGATGTTCATTGCGCAAGGGTCAATTGCTGTGGGTGGATCGCCTACTGGCGGGGGCACCCGCGCCCGCGTGTATCTTCAAAATCAAGATGTACACGACATGCCCGCTCTTCTCCGCCGTCGTCTCTGCGCGTCTACGGCGGTAGTCTACTGTGAAGTACATCATCATTCTGAAGCAACCAAGGCAGACTATAAGCCCCCCCTGGAGACCAGTGTATAGTAGCTATACTTGTATTCTTGCTGGAGTACCAGGTATGGTGACTGCCGTGAATCGGCAAACGCCGTTACAAAGATAAAGTTGGGCATGATTCCCCGCCCAACTCACCGTTCAATACATCTTGCTAATTGCTTCCATGGCACTGCTGTATTAATCTCCACTTTATTGTCGCCATTTATTTACCCTAATAAATATCCGCCAGATTCTCTCCGCGTTTTACGGCGAGAAACTCTCCCCCCCCCACCTGCCCCTGCAAGGCGCTCTCCCACCCTCTGGTCAACCATTCGGTGTATATCTCTCACCTCATCCCCGTCGTTTTCTCTCATTGCTTGCCTGCCTGCGACGTTGACATCAACATCCACCTGGCCCATCTTTCCCTCCGCGCCTACTGCTGTCTACACCTCGTACCACCAACCTGCTCAAGCAAGCAGGGTTTGACAGGTACATAGCAACACCGGCTGCTTGCTGCCGTCGATGCTAGCAAAGAATTCACCGCCGCTGCGGGAGAAAGACGAAACCGAGGTATATTCAAGACTACCAGCAGCAGCAGCAGCAGCAGCAGCAGCAGCAACAACAACATGTCAACTAAGGAGGGTGCGGCGACGGCGGCGGCGGCTGCATACAAGGATAAGCAGGAGCAGGTGCTGAGGATAGCGGCGTCCGACGTGGCTGCGGTTGCTGGTTTCCACCAATGGGTCGATGTGCGGGAATTGCTCCTCGAGCGCTTGCTGTATCAGGTGCGCTGCTGCTGCCTTTAGTGTTTCAGCACGGTATATTGTGTTTGTTTGTTTGAACTGGTTTCAGCACACCGCTTGTGTTGTTCTTGACTTGTGTAAAATGCCCACCTTTGAACGTATTGCTCTACGTCTGTACAGCAGCAGACTCAGTAGACTAGAACTTTCGCCCCCCCCCACGTTCATTGTTGTTGTCGTCGTTTGTCCTCCCTGTTGAGCTGTTGAGATTTTGCTCGTCCCTCCACAAGTGTTCGCAAGAAATTGTTCCGATGTCTTGTGTGATTTTTTTCCTGTACAAAAGACTGATTCACCACACATCCTCCAATAAGTCACCTCCAGTTTTAACCTGCCTCCGTTGTACCCAGTAGATACTCCGGCAGAACTTGGGCGCCCACCCGGCGAGCCTCGCTCTTGTGGGGTGCGCGTTATTCACGCCGCGCGTATCCAATATCCATTTTTTCCTGGTCTTGCCACAATGTATGCGTCCGACGAGCGACCTCCGCAGCTGCTCGGGCGCTGGATGTCCGCGCTGCCTTCTATGATTCAGCTCGTGTGTTCCGTACATGAAAGTATGCATCCCACAACACCGAGACTGCTTTCCATAGATTCAGGGTGTGTGCGTTCATTAGACTTTATATTTTCAGCGCATCTGTCTGATGATCTGATGATACTAGATATGACCACCACGGTGACACGGACGCGCTTTTTGGTCTCAAGGTTCGGCGCGTACACGTACACGTGCACACTGATGTGTGGTCGTGCACTGTTCCGATCATTTTCGAGTATCCATAGATACCGTGACCTCAGTCCTGGGCATGCTCGGCCCACATTCAGGCTCACTGACATGCAGGCTTGTTTGGAGTCTCTTCAAAAAATGAGGATCCACTGCTAGCATACTCAAAAAATGCTGCTGTACGGGGCGGATGAAGGGATCGTGAATTCTTCCTGCAGTAGGTCTGAACTCCGGCCACGGCGGACCTCGGCCTGTGCACCAGCTCTAAGGGACTTCTCCGATCCGTTTCATTCACGTAAAATACGTTCATACAAGAGAAAAAAACTCACCTGGAAAAAAACGATTCGTGTTGGCCGCTCGATTACGCACTCCTCCTTTGATTCTTATTATTCAACGAATGATATGTACCTGCAACGTGGCGAAAATAACTGTTCTGTTTTCGCAAGAAAATAATATGCCGACCGGTTTCGTGGAGAGAGATGAAATCCGTTCGTGTTCTTGTATGAACCGAAAAAACTAGGACACCTCCACAGCACAAGATATTTGAGCTGAGATATTTTAGTTTGTTGGTTGTTTTCTTTACGTGAAACTCGTGTCAGTTGCTTGTCCCAAAATCTAGCAAATACTCGGTCCGTGGTAAAAAAAATGCTAGAACCATCAGAAGATCTAAAGAACACGCACACTATTAGCAAGAAAGGGTACACAAGCCCGAGGAGGTACACCTACAATCCCTGCAGCACGTTTGCGTGCTCACAACTGAACTACACGCCCACACACTACAATTGGACCATTACTGTACAGCAGCAGCATCACCCCCCCTTGTCCCGCATTAAACCAAAATGAATGTCGACTACAGCTTGCTGCTGTCTGAAGTGCTGTCTGTACAATAATAACACCATGGTGCATGGTAAGTGCTATCAGAAGGAGTCCGTGCACATCCAATGAAGAACACCCAACCAAAGCCATCATTGCAATTGACAACCACCCGAGTCTATCCAGATCATCTGTGTAGGCACAGCAATGTAAACATCGAAAGTGACTAATCGTTCCACATTGAAGGGGTCTCCCAAGATGCAGGTACACAGTTAAGGCACCCGGGTTGTCCGCGCCATCGCTGCCGCGTCTCTCTACAAAACCAGTGACGTCATCACACACACCCAACACNGTGCTATCAGAAGGAGTCCGTGCACATCCAATGAAGAACACCCAACCAAAGCCATCATTGCAATTGACAACCACCCGAGTCTATCCAGATCATCTGTGTAGGCACAGCAATGTAAACATCGAAAGTGACTAATCGTTCCACATTGAAGGGGTCTCCCAAGATGCAGGTACACAGTTAAGGCACCCGGGTTGTCCGCGCCATCGCTGCCGCGTCTCTCTACAAAACCAGTGACGTCATCACACACACCCAACACCTATCAAAAACGGAAAATTTGGCATCCGGGCGAACGGCCGTGCCTTCCGTTCTGGTGAACACTCTGGAAGAGGCGAAGAGATAGCCTGCCTCCAGTAACAGAGCCTTGGCGCCATTTCTTGGAGCGCGGCGCACACACCCTCCTGGCACCTCGCTCGGCTCCCCATTTTTCATTTGTTGTTTTTGAAGCAAAAATGTCATTCGCTCCCATTCTGACAGATTGTTTATCGAAGCAGTCGGAATCATGGCCAGAAAGGTGACTTGAAAGTGAAGCGTTATGTTTTTCCCAGCAGTTTTGCCCACCCCCTTTCTAGAGGACAGATACATTCTCTTTCTTTGTGCGCGTCCAGCTTTCTAGCTTTCGTTCTCCGTATTTTGGTCGTTCAAGCGAAAGCACTCAAGTAGGGATGAGGCGAAGAGCAGCCAAAACGTCTCCGCGCGACAGAACTGAACGGAGGTAAAGAAACAAACAGGCAACGAAAAGTCGGACTCCTGGCCGGAAAAACCTGAAATGAAAGCCGTAATGTTCTCCAGGAAACCTATCTACAGCTATGGCAGTTCACACCCTCGCCATGTTGATAATCGCTACTGCAGTCGCGCTTTTCCGGCTTGCAAACAGCAAACAGCAAACAGCAGTAGGGCAGCAGCCGTAATACTTAGCATCAAGGTGTCTCAAAACTCCGGTGAGAAGGGGCATCTCTCTCGAGCTTGGGATCGTGACCTTGAAAGCACGAAACATGTTTTCGGAGGAGACAAACAGTTGGTGGATTGGTGCACCACCGTAATCAGAACAAACCGACCCCGTGTGCGCGCAAGAGCTCGCAACACCAAGATGGTCCCCATTTGATCGGGGTTTGGGACGCCATGACGTTGCGACGGTCACTGCCAAACTGGGTGCAAGCCGGAAACGCGCGAATGCAGCCCTTCTGTGCCACGTCGAGGGTGTGTACTGTGGATACGTTGACTGGAACACACGGTTCTTTTTCAGTTCGTATTTCAGACCAAGGTTGTGACTATGGGGCACCAAGTCGATTTTTTTTTTTTGTGTCATGTCGTGTGAAGTGCTCTCTCTTCGACCTCTCGCTTCATCCCCACATCAGTGCTTGGTTGAACGTCTAGAAGCCCGAAAAAGGTGGCTTTCCCCACCGGAGTTTGAGACACAACGATGCCCGCGGTCACATTTATTTCCTTCATACTGCTGTCCACGCGCTGGAAACGCACAAATACAGCAGTTCTCCGTTGATGAACGGTTCTCTCCGGAGTCCACCGCGCACTAGGCACAAGGCTTGAGGGAGGAACGGGTGCGAACGTCGTCTAGATGATTCAGCGGAAAAACCCGTTCATGATGCAGAAAAAGGAAAAGTCGAGATTTGCACCTGTTCTCCCATAATCCCGAGCGGTATCCTTACTATCTACCAAGTATTATTTGTGTGCTTTCGTCTCATGGTCAACCTTGTTGATGCGGATTTGATCACGATGGCGATGATGAACGCTGTCGTTTCTGGGTGAGGATTGCTGCGGCACCGTAGGAGAAGGTGCCGTTACGAGTTGAGAGTGCAGACCCATATCGAGGCTGGAGACGACAACAATATGCCCCAAATCTCGCCCGTCATGGCATGGAGCACAGCGGGTTGCCACATGGCAAACTTCCAAGCCGGACCCCTTCTAAAAGACAACATACCGTATGAGTTGTTCGTTCACCCGTTTCGCCAAACGTCTTGTAACCGCCGTTGTCGTCACGAGCCTTTGTGTTCAAACAGTTTGATCTATGTACCTCAATACAAAAAATCACAGCAGCAGCAGCAGCAGCAGCAGGGCCACCTACCACTTCCGCGCAATCAACCCTTCTCCCCCCCCTCGTCCCTAGTGGTACTGCCGCCTGCCCCCTTCCTTATTTGCCACTCCAAGTACATGCATCTGGTACGAATACTTGTTTATATTCTCCCTTCATCACCGGTGCAGGACCTCGACCACCTCCTGAGACTGGATGCGGCAAACGTTGGCGCCGAGGTGGAGAATAAACGGCAGCGGTCGGAGAGGCTCTTGTCCAAGGCCGGCAACGTGGAGCTGAATGCAGTCCGGAAGAGGGCGGGTGACGGTGCTGCGATCGACACTGTAAAGGACGCGCAAGCCCTGCGGGAAAAGGTGCGAGACTCGGTAATATTTTGCGAATGTTCGGGGCTGTTGTTTTTGTTGTTGCTGTCGTCGGGTAGAAAAACGTTCCGATCGCTCTATCGCGTGTAACATTTACTCATTTATTCTCATGGTGACTGGACTGACCCCCCCCCCCCC